AACGCGATCTGGCATGGCTCCCTCTACAAGCACCCGTGAACGCGGACGTTCACCCTTGAGGGGGGGGGGGCCGTGTAGTATAACCCCCTGGGACTAGATTTAGGTAATATCAGCTACTGTAGAGCCCGAGCTCTACAGTACGACGCGAACGAGCGCGCGTGCTGTCAGCACCGAATGCTGACAGCCCTACAGTACGCGCGACCCGCACCCACTACTGCAGCCGACCACAGTAGCACTATAGTACAGTACGTACTGTACTGTAGTATGATAGACTAACTTGTACATTAAATACGTGAGCGGACCGACGGCGACGGGGGAGGACAAGCACGAGCTTGTCCAGAACCTACGCCTTTGGTCAAGCTCGCCCCTCTTATTCTAGATCGGGTTGCCTACAATAGCCCGTATCTAGTTAGGAGCCGAGCGGGCAAGGGACGGGCGAGCACACGAGCGAGCCTAGATCCGCCTCCGCCCGTCAGCGCTGGTACGTAACCCAGCGCTGCCCCGGGGCGTGTGGCATAACGGCGGTTCACGATTAGATTTAGATTAGATCAATATGAGCCGCACGCGCGCACACGTGTACCGCCCACGTACCCCACGTGTACAGGGGCGCGCGCACGCACGTGCACACGTGTACCACACGTGTGTGAAGCGCGCATACCCACGTGTACTATACGTGTACAACACGTGTACAGACAGCACGGGACGGCCCGTGCTGACTACAGTAGCACTGCAGTACAGCCCGTACGGACTTGTCCACGACCTACCGCCTAGGTCCGTCTTCCAGCTGAACTAACGAGCGCGATCCGCTTTCGCGCACGTTAACCGGGACAAAGTGGGTAGGGAACAGCCGCGTACGCGAGCGAGCCTAGATCCGCCTCCGCCCGTCAGCGCTGGTACGTTACCCAGCGCTGCTCCGGGGCGTCGAGGCGTAGATCGGCCCGCGCATACGCTCGTCCTCTACCGTCCCGCTCTACCACGATACCAGGGCCCGCTTCCCTGTCTCGTTAGCTGCGTGTTCTCCCCGTCTTCTCGCCCCTCGTACGGGGTCTACGTCGAGCAAAGTATACACCCCTCTCCGTGGGGGGGTGTTATACTACAGGGCGTTGAGGCGTAGATCGATCCGCCCGTGCGCGCGTCCCCGTCGGAACCCGCTCTACCACCACGCTACCCGGGCCCGCTTCCCGGTTCCGTTAGCTGGGGCTGCTTCCCTTCTCCGATCGGGGTCTCCGCAAGAACTGAGTATACACCCCCCTCCGTTGGGGGTGTTTATACTACACTTTTCATTCCAGGTCTGTAACTCGGCAAGGCTTCGAGCTTTGATGGGTCCTTTGTGGAGCATTCCAAGTGCCGGATCTTCTCCTACAACGAAGAGTAGCGCGTTAGCGAAGGAATCACGCACGCACTCGCCGTGTGTGGCGCGGCAGAAGAGTGCCTGGTGCGTACGATAAGGCCTTGTGAGTCCGGTGGCTTCGCGATGCCCGGGACCCCCAATAACAACGAAATCGTCTTGATGACTGGTACAGTACTCATCCAGCCATTCCAAGGCTTGTGCTGTCTTCCGAGTACCAAAGACGAGCTCAACTTCGGAGTTCCCCTGCCCACCCGGACAAGTCACTTCCATGTCACTGGTAACTGGGCTTCCTGCCGAATCGAATACGGACAACACGTTGGCCTGGAGGGTATGGAAGTTCACTTTTCAAAAGGTCTTGCGCCCGCCTCCGCTCCGATGTGAAGCGTAGTACTGACCCGGGCGGAAGCCGTGAGTCCTTCCGGAACCCATCACCACCCTTCGAACCTCCCAGCGGCGCTGCTCGTGCTCTGACACGCCCATTGCGTTAAGCAAGCCCCATCTCTCCAACAACGCAACCTCAAACATCCTCCCGCTCCTATCCGACAGCCAACGTAGAAGAACCTTCGATGTTTCCATCCCGATGCTCAGCCTCTGAGCAATCTTCTCCTCTGAGCAATCCTCTCCCGACTGAAGGTGAATTAGAGGCCCCGGGCCACGACGAGGACTTCGCTAGACCTCCACTTTCCTCCGAGCCGCGCCATCATCTCGACCGCAAGCCTCCCCTTACCCTCATCGAGCCACAGACCTGCCATCACGCAAGGAAGCGCACGACCCCTGATCCCTGGCCTGCCGGCACTCTTTAGGTTTGAGGAGGTCGCGCGCTGACTCGTAGAGGAAACGGCCCGTCGTTGTTGGAAGCTCGGAGGTGGGGAAGTAACGGCGTGCGGGAGTGATGGCGGAGAAGCGGAGCGCCGATGTGGTGTGAGAAGCGGAGCGGTGATGCGATGCGCGAGGTCAACCAGAGGAGCGGTGAAACGGTGCGCGACGTCGAGCGGCGGAGCAGCGATACGGTGCGCGAGATCGAGCGGACGCTGAACTGAGCCAGTGTATAGCGAGGGCTGGCGGTGGGCGTGCGCAGGTGGTGACTACCGGAAGCTGTTGGTCCGCGGTGGATTTGGGGGTCCGAAAGGGCGCAGCGAGAGAAGGGGGGAATAATTCAACGAGCAAGCGCCCTTACCCTACGCAAATCCAGAAGGCCGCGTTGTCAGGACAAGGGATCGAGTACCGAGCAGCGGCGGCGCGGCGTCAGATCCATATAGGGTTGGCGCCAACGGCGGATCGGCCGGCGTCGCGTGTCCCAATTTTAGGGCCAACAGGGGGTGTGTGAGAAGATACAAATTGCAGTTTATTTGGTTAGCCCTAAATCTGGGAAAAAGGGAAATTACCCGCTCGACGCGCCGGCGGAAAATCCGGATATATTAAAATCCGCGGGCGGTATCCCGACCCACCCTCGGGGGTAACTTGCTACCCTCCGACAGCGCCGGCGAAAAGTCTCGAGACTCGACATCCGAAGTATCCCCATCCGCCTCGCGACTCCTTTCCCCCGCCGCTGCGTGCGACGAGCGAGGCTACTACATTGTGCGAAACGCAAATAAATACAGCCATTGTCGAAAGGGTTTTCAAGCAACACAGGCCGAAAACACGAAAACATAAAAAAGCACACTCTATGATATCGCAAAACACACGGCAGGACCGATTCCGGGCTCGGATTGGCTCTACCATAAAAGCATGCCCCGCAATCTTTAAAAACCTTTGCGAAACGCAAATAAATACGCGAAACGCCATACAGTACAGTACCAAAAAAGTCTTTATTTTAGTACTTTGTCTCACGCCCTTGTCTATCCAGCACTGCAAGCATACGGTGAGGTGTGCTATGATAAAGGCTCTGTAGGAGTTGTCCACTAATTGTCGTCCATACCTCCTCAATGACCTCCTTAAGTTTGTCTACAGTATCGAACTGCCTTGGACGAAGATAAACGCGGCGCGACATGATGCCCCAAATGTTCTCTATTATATTGAGACCAGGCGACACTTCGCCGGCCCATCTATAGTCTTCACACCCTTCTGAGTTAGCCATGAGCGCATATATGTAGACCTATGGATAGAGGCACCATCTTGCTGGTAAACCCAAGTGGCCATTTCGCCATACATCTCGTCTGCGAAGGGAAGTAAAGCTTGGTCGAGGGTTGCACAGTACTTGCGAGAGTCTTGATTTCCATTTAAAAAGACCAATGGGGACACCCCGTACGGGGAAATACCTCCCCAAACCATGACTGATGCTCCTCCATTTTGTCTTTTGAAAAAACCTTTAATCTTCCCGTAGATCATTCCAATAGTATGCGTTGCCGTCAGGGGCGTCGAAGTTGAACTTCTGTTCGTCACTAAAAAGTACCTTGTTCTAAAACTGATCTTGTTTGCCAATAAAGCGACGTACTCATTTCACTCTATTTTCGTGGCGTAGAGCAGTCATTATGGGTGCGCTTGTCATTTGTTTATACTTCAGGTGTGGAGTTGCGCTTAAAATTTGTTGAATTCTGCGCACTCCTACCGGTAGTCCGAGGTCCTTCTTTAGATCTTGAGCTCAAAAGTTTCCTGTGGATGCCTTTCGGATCATGGCCTTCCCTTGGCGGACGGTGAGCTTTTGACAAGTTACATGCGCACGAGCACGAGAGGTACGACTCAGATTCTTTAAAAAGCGCTGTATGGCTCCTACGGATCTTCCCAACTCCTTAGATATATCCCGTAAGGACATTAGTTGATGGTGCAAGGCCAGGATCTGGCCCTTTTCGATGTCGCTGAGTGGCGGTCCCCTTGGCATTATGAATGCTAACTGCTCGCTCGCAGTGATGTAGAACGATGCTGATGCCGAGGGCTAAAGAACTATGTCCTTTATTGTTTTCAAAAGAAGACTACACGCCAATTGCCCGCACTTTTTGGTACTGTACTCATTGCGTTTCGCGTATTTATTTGCGTTTCGCAAAGGGTTTTAAAGATTGCGGTCCATGTTTTTATGGTAGAGCCAATCCGAGCCCGGAATCGGTCCTGCCGTGTGTTTTGCGATATCATACAGTGTGCTTTTTTATGTTTTCGTGTTTTCGGCCTGTGTTGCTTGAAAACCCTTTCGACGATGGGTGTATTTATTTGCGTTTCGCACACTGTACTAACCTCATCGTTCCCGTTCTCCCACAGGTTCAGCACTGAGTGATTGCAGCCTCATGCATGAAGTCAACATGGTACAGACGGTTTGCAGATTGCCCAGCCGTCTGGCGGGACTTGCAACTCTTGAGGGTGAGTCATTTGACGAAAGCGGCACAACACTAATCGCATGGTTATCGAACAGTAAAGGAAATTCGGCAGCAAGACCTCTGTAATAATTTCTATCGACCACAGAAGTTCCTGTACTGCAAGATGTAGATAACATCCGCTGAGGAGCACACGTCTATATGAGCGCTCTTCACGTGATATCCATCGCTTTGTGATTAGTTGAAAGGCGAGAGCATAAACCGTCCTCTGGCGGCCACTCGGCCCATGCAACCCCTTCTCAGATGGCCAGTAATTCGACGTTCTACAGAAGGCTTTCGTCGCGTCTCTAGCGCATTTCAGCTTGTGCCCCGTTACACGAAAAGTCAATTTACAATTTGGGTGGGTACTACATAACTTTGATGATTTTACCCCTATTCTTGTCAACCTTGAAGCTCCGCTGAGCAAACAGCCTGGACTTGTAAAAGCCTTCACAAGAAAACACGTTCATTTCACGAGCGCGGGCCTCAAAGTCATCGAGGTCCACCTCGACTTGTTTAGGGGCGTGTTCAGATGTTTCTTCCGCGCTGTTGTTCGGACGAAGAACCAGCTGAGTGGCAGCATAGTCGCGGACCAACCCACTAAGTACGTAGAATAGAAGCTCATTATCGTCCTTCCGGTAGGCCAGATACTTATGAAAGCGTCGCCGAAGCTGACGCATCAGGGAGTACTTTTGGCTTGCGAAAAATGATTCTAGCATCACTGCGATAGCCATGTTGATGTCATCTTCTCGAACGTATTCGCGCAAGTGCAGTTTTGCATGGGCCTCCGCCAATCGAACAATAGACTCAAGATGACGGAGCGCAATGGGCATTCCTCCCGACGACATTGACTCCTTTCGCAGGTCAATGTAAAGGGACGAAATCTTCTCCTTGTCCATATCGGTCAGCTTCGGGTGTACATTGTTTTTTGCATAGAGGAGGTACTTTCTCAACATTCCTTGTGGAACGAGTTCAATCCCATCAGCGCTGTACTCCAGCATGTCGGCCAATCTGTTTGAATCCATGTCTGGGTTGTCGAAATCCTCTTCATCCTTCTGCGGGTGTGACCGCACATGAGAATCAACGACGAACTTCGCTAAAGTCTCGTCCTGTGTTGAGTCGACCGTGTCCCTCACGACACACAAAACATCAAAACGAGAAAGAATCGGCTCAGTGAGATCAACATTATCGAAAAACGAGATAGAAGGATCATATCTTCCCTTCACAGGATTTGCAGCAGCAAAAACAGAGCATCTCGCTTGCAGAGTTGTGACAATGCCAGCCTTTGATATTGAGATACTTTGTTGTTCCATAGCTTCGTGAATTGATGTACGGTCAGCATCGTTCATCTTGTCGAATTCATCAATGAGGCAAACTCCTCTGTCTGCTAACACAAGGGCGCCCCCCTCAAGTGTCCATTCCCTTGTCACGGGATCACGATGGACGACAGCAGTTAGACCAACGGCTGAAGCACCTTTTCCAGTTGCGTAGACAGCACGGTGGGCAGTCTTCTCCACGTATTTCAAGAATTGCGACTTTGCCGTTCCCGGGTCGCCCATCATCAACAAGTTGATGTCTCCGCGGATACGATGTTTCTCGCCGACCTCCTTAAACTGCCCGCCGAAAAGGGCAAGAGCGATTGCTCTCTTGATGTTTGCGTGTCCGTAGATACTGGGTGCCATGGACGCAAATATTCTTTCAGCAATTCTCGTGTCCTTGGAGAGTTGCCGAATCTCAGCGATGTTATCATCAGTAAGTGCCATATCAGCGTGTGCATCTTCCATCTTCCGAATGTAATTGGCCTCAATAACCGTTGCAAACACCGGAAAGCCGTTGGTGATGTTAATGGAAGGGTCAACGTTGTGCCGGTAGACACCCGTGACTTCAATTTCCTCTCCTGGGCGTGCACAGTCAATCAGATCATTCAAGAGTATCACTTCCTTGTATCGCGGGAGCCGACCAGCTGGTACAGAGCCTGGGCTCTCCTGCAAATTAACCTTCTGAAAGTTACCAAACAGACTTTGTTCTGAATTGACTGTGAAAGGACCTCTAGAACCACACTCGGAACAAACAGTCATACTTCTCTCAGGAGTTTTTGAAGTAGTGGAGGTCGGGGATTGAACACGTTTGCACTTCTCACAGTTCAGCTTGACCATGCGAAGATGGGGAAAGACCCCAGAGCGCCGCGTTACTACGCCCGATACCTTAATCAAGGTGTTCAGGTGGATATGGCGAATATCTCTGAGGTGATCAGATACTGGGAGTTCTGAAATACGGACAAATATCTCTGGATGGATTCGTTCATACTCAGGAAAAATGTTAATTGTGACGTCCGTCGCAGCTTCGTTGAAGATTTCGAGAATGTGGGTAGGGGCGTCAGCGAGCCAAATGCCAACAGTCGGTTCTGCAACAGAAAAGTGCTTGAAATTGACAACCAAGCTCTGACCGTTCTCGGCGGCCATCATACGGATGCGATCCATGTAAACAAGAGAATCCGTCCTGTCGTCAGAGTATGTCCGAAGAAAGGAAGTGAAACGATTGAAAACCTCCTTGCGAGCTGCGTCGTCACGAAGGATTGCAACCACCGACTGTCCTTGATTCGCATTCGCATCAAGATCAAATGGCTCGGCGTTATTAACCCCATCGTGTTCATCATCGCGATAGCTGAGAGCAGGGGTTCCATCGCCTTGAGAGGCACGCGGGCCAGAAGCCTGAGACCCTTCAGCGACCGAGTCAGTCGTTCGAGTGGAGCGGTGTCTTGAAAGGATGGCCTCCCGACGGGCGTCACGATGAGCTCGGCGTCTCTGAAAGCCGGCCTCTCCTTCTTCGTCTGAGTCAGAGTCATCGTTGTTGATCTGGCCAGCCCCTGCACGTCCTCTGATATTCCTGGCACGGTTGGCGCGACGGTCTGTTTCACGCATCTCCCTCTCGGCTCGGCGACGAGCGGCAACACTCATCTCCTCAACGGCATCATTTTCCGCTGCCTCATCAACCTCATATCGATCAAGTTGCTCCAAGGGGCGGTAATCATTGACCATGTCCTCGCCAAGAAGATCCTCGCCGTCATCCTCCTCCTCCTCCACTGGACGAGCCGTGACGACTTCAGCAACACCATCGGCAAGCATCCTCTCGGCTTCTACGTCTTCCTCTAGCTCGTCAACCTCTTCGCTATCAGGAATTCGAGCTGTGTCCGTTGACGAAGGCTGGGCTCCATCTTGTGAAGCAGTTGCATCACGAGAAGATGCGGCGGGCCCTGCGTCAGCTGTATCCTCCGTTGTGCGTGACGGTTCGTTTGCCATTGTTCTCTGAGGGCAAAATGAGAGACGACCGGTGCTGCGATTGATGCTATGTGCGACCAGGATGTGAGGAAGGCGTATGTAAACGGGAGGTATGCTCGAGTGAAAGGTCAAGCGGGAGCGGTTGGGGAGCGCATCTGTTGTTGGCTTGGTTTTTATCAAAGAGGCCTAGAATCACATATTGTACTGCACATGCTCTTTTGGCGGGAAAGCCTTCTCCCTACCTCCTACTCATGTGCGTGCGTGGTACAGTACCGAAATGATTTGATTGCAGAGCCTTTTTCTGGGCACTCTTTTTCCCGCCAATTTGAGAACGAGTAATACCCGAGCCCTGTCCCGTTGCCTTGAGACCCAAACAGTATGATATCTCTGAACTTGGGCATGATTTCTTCGGATCCTTCCTTACTTGTACGAAAGTACAGAGAGTACCTCCTCAACAGTGCAGTTATGGGTAGTGCAAACCGTCAATAGTGCAGGTCAAAACCCCTTGTCACGACTTTCGACACGTGTATGCATCTCAGAAAAGCAAAGCGTGCATTGCTGCGTGCGTGCGAGTAAAACCGCTTCGTAAAAGTGATTTGCGAGATCCTCCCGTGAGTACAGTGTAGTGCAATACGCCAATAGTGCAGTATTCCACCGCGTGGCACGGTACTGCACTATTGAGCGGTACGGACTGTAGGTGATTGCGGGGACTGTACAAGCGTACAGTCCCCGCAACTACGTGTACCTACTTAAATTTTATGTCCGCTACATCTTCATTTTTGGCGGGAAACCCGTCATACTCAACGCTTTCAAGATGATCAACAACATCACAATACTGTACAGTGTGCCTCATATCCGGCCTACTGTATAATATTCCAATGTGGCCAGCTAACGAGCCGCTGAAGATCCCGCGCATTTCGTGGGCACTCCGCGCTTGCACCAGGTAGTCTCTTTGGAAAGCATCAACGTTGCCTCGTCAATCCCTCCGCCTCCTAAGCTTCGAAAATCCCCCAAACTAAGCGTTCAAAGCCGCCTAGCAAAACAACTGAAGAGACGCGAAGAGCTCGCCACCGAATTGCTCAACCATGGCAGAGGTTCTTTCAAATGTTGATGCCTTCCCGAGCAGGCCGAGAACACAAGGAGATTCGATTGCAACTCCCACTATGGACTACTCGGTCATGAAATCGCGGTTGAGAGAATTCCTACAGAGCTTTGCGCTTGATGATTTCTCGGCCGGCTCAAAGCTCAAGTACATGACTCAGCTGGAAGACATTTTCCGCCGCACTCGCAAGTCCTTAGTGATTGAAGTTGAAGATGTATACAAGTGGGGTTTAGACGCAGACAACTTCTCTGCAGCAAATTCCGGTGGTGCAACCGGTTTGCTGCATGATGAGATTCTGTCCAACGCTCGTCGATATCAAGAATTGTTTTCAGAAGCGGCTGACGAAATCATAGAAGATATGCGCAGCGCTGCACCAAATGCCCCCGCCGTCAATCCGGATACGCCAGACGTCATTGCTGTGCTTTCTGAAACTCGCCGACGAAGGGAAGAGGAATTTCGCAACGCTCAAGCAGCCGCTGAGAACATCCCCGGGGGCCCTGGTAATGCCGACAACGCAAACAGACCTGCCGGGCCTGGGGCAGACCCAAGGAATCTTGTTCCAGCAATAATGACGCGTACCTACGAAACCCTTCTCATCCCGAGACCTGGCGATAAGTCCGTTCCTCTTCGTTTCGTACGATCAGAACATGTCGGACGGCTCGTAACGGTCTCAGGCATTGTTACTCGCGTGACCGAAGTCAAACCCCGCGTAGCGGCTGCTGTTTACGTGTGTCACGGGTGTGGATACGAGGTGTACCAGGAAGTTAGTGGCAAGTCCTACATGCCTATTCAGACCTGTCCCACTCAGAATCATCGCCGAGGAGCAGAATCGCAGCTAGTTCCAAATTACAAAGCATGCAAGTTTGTCAAGTATCAGGAGCTGAAGCTGCAAGAGCCGGCGGATCAAGTCCCAATTGGTAGCATTCCGAGGACCATCAACATCAAACTCAACGGGGAAATTACAAGGACGTGCACATCCGGGGATGTCGTCAAAATCTCCGGTATCTTTCTTCCAATGCCGTACAGTGGTTATCGGGCGATGAAAGCCGGCTTTCTCGCGGACACTTTTCTGGAAGCCTCGCATGTAACTCAGAGCAAGAAAAGCTATGCTGATGAATACATCGACGACAATACCAAGCGGGAGCTCGAGGCTTTGCGAAGCGACCCAGACGTCTACAATCGACTGGCTAAGTCTATTGCCCCGGAAATTTTCGGAAGTGTCGAAGTGAAGAAAGCGCTCCTACTTCTTTTGTTGGGTGCGCCTCCAAAGCGACTGCCGGATGGGATGCGTCTTCGCGGGGATATCCACATTTGCTTGATGGGTGATCCAGGAGTTGCAAAATCGCAGCTCTTGAAACATATCGCGAAAGTGGCCCCTCGTGCCGTATACACGACGGGGAAAGGAAGCTCTGGTGTAGGCTTAACAGCGGCTGTGATCCGTGACCCAGTTACGAAAGAACTCATGCTGGAGGGCGGTGCTTTAGTTTTGGCAGATATGGGAATTGCCTGCATTGATGAGTTCGACAAAATGAACGAAGTGGACAGGACAGCCATTCACGAAGTAATGGAACAGCAAACAGTCTCCATTGCAAAGGCTGGAATTACTACAAGTTTGAACGCACGCGCATCCGTGCTCGCCGCTGCAAATCCCGCGTACGGGCGATACAACAAAAGAAAGTCGCCGGCAGAGAACATCAACTTGCCCGCAGCCCTGCTCTCCCGTTTCGATCTTCTCTTCCTTCTTCTTGATACGCCAGATGCAGCACAGGATTTGGCATTGGCGAAACATGTCACGCACGTACATCGCACCGGAGTCCATCCCACTTTGGACTTCACTGTTGTCGATCCGAAGGTCATCCGCGTCCACATCGCGGCAGCTCGTGAAGTTAACCCGGTTATCCCAAAGAATGGCTCGTTGACGGAGTATTTGGTTAACAATTATGTCGCCATGAGAGCCCAGGAGGTAGATGACGGCAGGGAGGCCAAAGGATATACTTCTCCTCGTGTTTTGCTCAGCATCCTACGCTTGGCCCAGGCCTTATGTAGGCTACGACTGGCGACTGTAGTGCAGCGCGAAGATGTAGACGAAGCATTGCGATTGATGGTGGCTAGTAAAGCATCCCTCGAAGATGCAGAGTCAAAGAAACGAAGCCGAACTGACGATGACGCGGATGAGGAAGCGTTGGATGTGCTTTTCGGTTCCAACAACCGAGCGGAGACTAAGGAGGACCGTGTATGGAGAATCTATACCCTGATTTGCGAACATATGGACAAAGAACAACGCGAAGTTATTGACATCGAAACGGCTGAAAAACTATGTGATGAGAATGGCTATTCACGAGACGAACTCATGAAGACCATTGATGACTATGAAGAAATGAATCTTTGGACGTACGATACAGATGAACATAGAATTGCTATTGTGTAACTCTGTTGTAAATGACTCCGCCTTTGTTTAGGACTACCCTGTAATCGCCCCACCTCGATGTTCCCAGATGGCAATCTCTGGAACTGGTTTTTTCTCCCATAATCCGCAATCACAGCTTTGTGACTACACGTTTCTGATGCACGAAGGAATATTGGTGTGCCAGGCAGGGTCATGCTTCGACAAGTTTGGACTGCGGTATGCTGTTCACCTCATCCATCTCCGACGAAAGTGTACCATCGTATCTCTGCAGTTCTGGGAAAGAATCGCAACGGTTAGGATACTTCAAACGGTGGCCATGTGCGCTTTTCTAGTATGGGTATGGGTGTAACGATTTACCAGAATAAAAGGAGCTGCGTCAGTCCAGTGAGAGAAGGGGTTCGGCGATATACAGAGGCACACACTGCTAACTTCACTATGCTACAACTCGCGCTGCGTACTCTGGCGTCATTATCCACAGTTTATGCAGAAGACGAACTCATGCTTTCGACACGCGTGGGCTTCCTTTATGGGGCAGTGGAGGTACGATTTGTAAAAAAAGATCAGTAGGCATGTGTATTCATGAAGTTGTGACAAATATCTACGTATATTCACAAGGGAAGGAGGGCACAAACGAAAAGCAAATGTCACGAGACTGCAATCCATTAAGAGGTGCCTGAGGGCTAAAGCAAAGTACTTTGTGCCATCCTATCTGCGGCATTTGCAAATCCATTCAAACATCATTACCAACTTTTTGCACTGTTTTCTTCACATCTAAGCTCCAATGTATTTCAAACTCAACAGTCAAACTGCTGAGCTGTGTGTATAAAACAAATTGTATAGATGTTATCCTGTCATTCATTGCCTTGTGGGCACTTCTTTAGGGTTGGTAATAGCTCGACGGGCCAGAAATATCGTCTCTGGTGCAAGCGGATGACTCCGTTTTCCTTTACCCGGTCGTTGTTTGTACTCCTTCGCACACCCAAGCATGAGACTCTTTCAAACATCATCTTCTGCGGAAAAAGGACAAGGAATCTCTTTCAAGTCTCAAATGTATCTCGTCTTGCTTATGTCCTGTGAGCCTGTCTGGAAGCTGACATCACAATGCATGCCAAGAGAGTATTTAAATTTCTCCTCAGTCGGGATACACTCCGTCAGACAGCAATCTGCAGCAATTCATTTCGACCATCGTTTCGTCGCCAGGGAAAAGAGTAAAGACAGTCTGCGGTTAGGGTTAATGCACAGCAAGAGGACACAGAAGGATATCCGTAAAGCGCTCAATATACTTACAGGGGACTGACTTGCGAGGAGCACCGGGAACGAGAACTTCAATCAACGAATAAACGCTAGAGCCGTGTCCAACCAAAAGAATATTCCCAGTGGTCTGAAAGCGTTCGAGTAATGAGCGATAAGTCTTCGTGCATCTGCTGGCTAATTCTTTCGTAGATTCAGGAAAGCCGTCAAAATTGTGTGACATTGGATATACGGGCTCGTAGTCTGCATCAATGTTTGAAAACTCTGCAGCAAGGCTTTGCACACTTCTCCAAACAGGTCCGCGTTCACTCTCCTGATACCAATCCGCACTGAGCCACTCGCACATACCTGGCTCGATGTAAATGCGCGTATGTGGTGATATTGAAGCAGCAGCATTGCTTGCTGTGTTCACGCAGCGGGAGAAGGGCGAGGTAAAGATATGGGTAATGTTGCACTCTGACAGTTTTATCCCCAGTTCTTTGGCTTGTTCTTTTCCCGTATGAGTGAGAGGAGGGTCATGTGGCTTCTCTGCGCTCTCGTACCACTTGGGGTCCACAAAATCGAGGCGTTCTCCATGACGTGCGATGTATAGTTTCGGATTGTTCATCCTGGTAGTGCCGCAGACGAAGAGTAGATAGAGAGCGCAGGTGTGCGAGAATGCCCTGCTCCAACTTGGACCGGCGTTGAAAGTACCGAAGGCTGTTCTCCCTCAAAGCTTTTTCTACACCGCGAAAGCCTGAGGAGATCCGTAGTGCATACAATCTCGTGAAGTACTGTGTAACTGGCGCAGCTCGGCACAGCATGAGCTCCACAGCACACCATGCAGCAACAATACAGCAGCGCATCAACAGCACTTGCTGTTGACAGCGTCATTCATTTCGGCACGAGTGTGGAGTGTGTGATTCCAGCCAAATATCAATCTGTTGACCTTGCTGTTGTCAGACCGATGGCCCACCTTTGCCTCAGGGACGGAGGATGCCGTTGGCACAAGACTTCCTTTTGTGCTCTAACGTCAATGCCTTGTACACAGTACCCCAAGGGTACTGTACTGCTTTGTCTGGATGGAATCTTACAGTCCTCTACAGTGGACGCAGTACGAAAAGGACGCGCATTAGTGCCGCTTTTGTTAGTGCCACCCAGAGACCGGAGCACGAATGGCGCTACGTGTGACAACTGCCAACCGTGTATGCACTGCATACTATGCAGCTCTATGCGACGCAGTCACAGACTAATGCCGTTTCGGAATAGTGCCAGTTTTTTTGGTTCCACACAGGGCGGCGTTAACGCGCAGGGCCCCTGTACTAAAAAGGCATGATCGGATTTTCAAATAATGCCACTGGCGAAAAGCTGTGCAGTGTACTTTTCCCTTGGGACCACCGAATGCAGAGCTTGTCGACTTAGCTCTAGCCTGGGCCTTGGGGATCCTCATCGGCTAGCGTAGCCATCATTCGCCTGTTTGCGTCGTGCAATCGGCGTTCTATGTCATCGTCAATCCGCGAAAGGCACTTTGTCGCAAGGCTGTCATATGCGCTGTTTGCTCTAGCAGTAAGGGGTTCACATTGACGCTAGGATGGTCGCGACAAAGATTTTGGACGAAGCTTTGCGTGGCGGCGAGCTAGCCCGTCAACTAGAAGAGCGATGTACGGCTCGATTGAAAGCCGCGGAGGCAACGGCAACCAAGGCCATTTCGACCGCACCAGATTTTCTCAACAGTACCCGCGAAAGACACAAACTTCTGATGACCAACGCCGAATCGCTCAACACAGAGTTGGAAATGCTCGGTGAGTCGCTCGACGATATAACAGAGAGTTCGCGACAGCTTGCGCGGCGTGCAAAGCTTGATGCTTCCAAGAAGGAGGCTTTAAAAGAGCTTTCGATCTTGATTCTTCCTTATGTTGAGGTGGCGAAAGCAATTGAAGCATCCGATGATATTGCGACGCGCGGTTTTGAGCAGCTCCATGAGACTCATTCCGCTATCGAAGCAGCAATCGCTACTGCGGCAGAATCCGGCCTTCATCAACTCGTTCGAACTATACACGATTTGGAAGAACGAGCGGACGATGTTACTGCCGTCATGAAGTCTCGTTTTATGGATACATTTGAGATCCGATCTCAAACCATCATCGCCACAGGCAAGTCGATAATGGCCGGTACATCTCATCGTAATCAAGTTGGGCGAGCATCAGCGTCATTGGCAAAATGTGGCCTAATACAGGACGCTATCAAGGCAATTGTATCAGAGTTGATGCGCAACCATGTGGCAAATCGAATAGCGACGGCCACTGTATTCTTCCAAATCGAGACAGACTCGGGTTGTACGCTGGAATGGACAGATGGGCATGATACTTCTGCAGAATTGCTGGAGTTTGACCTCGATGACATTGAACCCATTCCGGATTCAGAAATCGATGCGATGAGCGAACACCTCGATATTTCCAATTCTGTTGCTCGCGCTTTGAAAATATATGACGTTCTGACAGATCACGTTGTCGGAGTTGATTACTCGAGGGACCTCGCCAACGCGATGCGCACATGGTTTGCTGAGCATGTACTTCCACCATCAGTGGTCTTGACGAGTAAGCGTGAACAGCACGGAACCGCGGATGCTTCCCGCTCTGCTCTTCGTTCTCGCGTTATCGCGGTCAGCGCCTCCGCAAAGACTCTGCAAATGGCCCTCCGTGCCCGGGGTGCATCTTCATTTACGTTCGGCGTGGAACTGGATGAATTGGAATCAACAGTTGGAGCAGAATGCCGTGCCCAAGCTGTACTTGCTGCTCGACGAGCAATTGCACTCTTTTCAAACGCAAGGCATAATGATAACAATATGGTAGAATGCCCTATTGCTGCGGACAAGTATATACCTCGAACAAATCGTCCACCGGAGTACTTTGCCCCTTGCTTGGTGACACGCACGGCAATTCATGTGCATGATATTTTCCTTTCAACAAGGAAGGACGCCACAAGCGCCTTGCAAAGTGGTTCCACTGGCATTGGAAATGCCATGAATGCTGCTGCCGTGGAGTGCTTCAGGTCATACAGGGAGGACGTTCCCGTGCAGCATGCAGACGATCTTCGCGCGAGTTTGAGATTGAAGGCGTTGTACTATAACGATTGCATGATGTTTGCCCATTCAGCCCGCATATCTGGCCACCATCTAGGATTGACGACCGATCTGCAGGTAGAGATTGCGTGTCTTGAAGAGGCAGCTTTGAAGGCCATGACAATAGTCCGACGAACCGCAGAACAGCGACTGATGGAAAACCTCCGAGCTGCTTGTCGAAATTCTGCGTTGGGAGCTTACGGGACTCTAACTCAAATTCAGCGTAGTTCGGCCCTTTCTGCAGCATTCAACGCTATGCGTGAAGTTGTGTCTGTGTTTTCCGATATCGTACCAACAGAGATTGCTGAAGTAGCGGCAGGCAGACTACTACAGAAGTATTTGATCTCCCTATGCAGCGAAGTAGTGGCGTTGCCGGAGATTAGTGCTGACGGATGCGATCAAATCGTGAGTATTTTATGCGATGCAGACGCCAACGTGGAAAGCCTGATGGACCTTGTCAAAGGCATGAATGTCGTTAGAGCTGGAGCCCCGCCACCAGACGTTATCATTCAGATGAGAAGGGCGCAGAAGCGGCTACAGCTTATAAGAGAAATTCTTAATGCTCGAATGGAAGATATCACAACTGCGTTTCGCGTTGGCAAGTACGAAGGTCTTATCACCAGGGACGAAGTTGAACATTTCATTCGCTCCATCTTTGAAGATACGCCCCTTAGAGCAAGCTTCATTCAAGATTTAGATGTAAGTGTAGAGCAGGAAGCCGGCGAATGGGAAAATGTAAATTGGTAACTCGAAGATAACTTCTGATAATCAAATGAAGAGGCGGTTGTGCCATACTAAAACGTACATGCAGTTGTGGTTATTGCAGTATTACCGTTTGTGCGGTTCTGTGCTGATCGCTACTACAGTAGTATGCTTGTAAGTGATGTCGAGGTGTTGTTGCAGTCGTGAGTTGAAGTTCTGCAGTGCTTATTCTTCGGCGCGAAAGTATGATGCATCATTCTTGATGTACCTTCCCGAGCGAATTCGTAGCTCATACTGAGCACGCCTTGCTAGGAAAGTGCCTTTCCCTCTAGATGTCATCTTTTCGGTGCTCATCTTCTCCCCGCCGCTCTCCAGCCTCTGCGTGTTCTTGCCCCACTTAGAATCCCTCTTCCTTTTCGGCTTCAAAGCATCAGGCATGTTGCCCTTACTGTGTCCTCTTCGATAGCTGCTGATACCTCCATGAGCAGAGTGCCTCTCAGTCTTTTAGGCAAATGGGCTCTGGTTCGTCTTTGCCTCAGTAGTGCGGTCGCATCTGCATATCGCTGCAGGAGAAGATGCATATGTTCCACGATTCATAAAAACATAGTATGGGAAAGCAGGCAATCAAGAAGAAACATTGGGAACGAGGCAGACAATCAGAAAACTACCTTAAGTCGTGAGTTTCGCGCATTCAAAGAAGACTATCAGACCTTTTCAGGAGAATCTAACATTAGCATGCTTATTCGCACACTTGAGCAGGTACACTTGGGCAGGTGAAGAGCATTCTCACTGAGACTGCGGTCGCACTTCCATGTTTTTCAGAATTGGTTAGCATTGCCCCCGTTCTATCTAGTACCATTCCCAATGGGTGACATTCCTCTCGCAGCAGTAGGACGAGGGTATTAACAATGCTGGACGTGATATAGAATCATTCTGACAGGTGAGTTTGTCAAGAAGACTGGGACAAGGGAACTGGGGTATCGGGGTAGGTTGTCATTTTCTTTGCGAACTTCGTTGCCTACCATCAAAAGCATAGCCAAAGGCTCGTTCAAACTACCAAAATTAATCTTTCGTAAACGTCTAGCTCGGGTCAGACCGGACCTACCGCATAACTTTTGAAGTCATCAGACTGCGTCTGGAGTATTAGCAAGCCACAGTACTGTCATCTCTAGACTTCCATTGCGAACGCAAATTTCTTCTCACATTACCCGTACAAAACTGAAGTAAGGATCTTGATCGTCGAGACATGCCTTTCGGTCAAGATTCTTTCTTGCGATTCTTCCTTCTAGTCAGGAAACGATCAATGACCGGGGCAAATGCAATGCTCAGGCCGAGTCGTAAAGGCTTTGTCACCTGGGATAAGGACCATGTCACTAACCAAGCTTGAGCAAGGCCTCCAGCTCCACTTGACCAACCGACCTAAAAAATTGTGTTGTGCGTAGAGATTGCGGTTTAGTTTCCGAGAACGAGTAGGTCCTCATGGGAATGGTCTATTGTACTGTAGAGGAACCCATTTCCCGTTCACATGACCATAAAGGAGCATGATCATACTTTACACATCATGACGGAGAATGCGGCACCGTAGTAAATTGTGTTCATCACTCCATACGCGAATAGCCCCGCCACGCCTAGATTCTTAATCTTGCTGGCCAGGCTCGACGACTGCCTCTGTAATTCGGCCAGCCAACCTTGAGGTGACCTATTGCTTGCAGGTGCGAGGAAAAGGTGTTCACTTATCTGCACGTGCAAGACCCGTAACGGAAATCATGAAAACATATGGGAAACAAAGGAAAAGTTAGAGGCTTCGCTCTGGCGCTCTGCAAAGACTGCCACAATAATGTTGTGCTCGCAATGAAAACGCACCAGAGCCGCGGCACAAGCACCAACGAATGGACCAATCCAGTAAATCCAGTGGTTTGCGAAATTCCAAGTGACAAGAGCTGGACCAAATGCCCTGGCAGGGTTGAAGACACCGCTAAATGTGCCGGCGCATGCAAGCACGGCCAGTCCAATATACAAAGCAGCCAACTTGTTGCCGACCCCTCCCTCACGCTCAGTCGCAACGGCAGTCTGATAAAGAATAATGACAATAATAAACATAGGCATTAATTCGGCAAAGAAAGCTCTGACAAGGTCTGTCGTAGTGGCTGAGGCTGCAATCCCACTAAAAGACATGGGGGTACCAAGCATCGCGGCCAGGTAACACGCCGCTGCTGAGGCTAATAGTTGAATTGGGATAAATGCGACTCCCCTTCTCAGGGATACTCTCTTCGTGATAGCTAGAGATAATGTCACGGCAGGATTCAAATGAGCACCGCTTACCGGCATGAAAGAAGCAGCGACAGCCGCAATAATTGCCCCATTGTTCAGGGAATTTGCTACAGCAGAGCCCGAAGATGCGGCATTAACGCTGAGATACACGAAGAGAAAGGTTGACAAAAACTCCCCGAAGAGGACTCTCCCATCGAGGTCTGTGGTTTTTTGGATGATGCCTGGTGCCGGCTCCTCGGAATCCGATGCATCTTCGTTGGCATCAGCGATGGAAACCCCGTCCTCTATTGCCAGATCAAGACTTGTCGTTGCCTCATCACCTGGCTCCTTCCTAGAGGACTCACTCAAAAGAGAAGAGGTCTCGGATGCGCGATTCTCCCCCAACTCACATCTCACCGGTCTATATTTTTTCTTCGCAATAGCATTGTGGTATTCCTTTCTCTGCGTAGGGAGCACACTAAAACTACTCGTTCGCAACGCTTTTGACATGGGCGGCGAGAAAACAAAGGCCATAGCAAGATGTGGAACTGTTAACGAATCTCGCCCTTCACACTCTCTGGTATGCAAATTCCGGTGCTGGGAGTGACAGACCGCACAGACAGCCTGTCCAGGACAGTAGAGAATAGCACATAAGACGACGACGCACAGCGCGCAGTGTAAAGAGGGTATCGGACCCCTGTAGTTCCATCAGGTTATGGGAAATTGACGCAACCACTGCCACTACCCGTCCACCAAAACGGACAAGGCTCAGCAGACGGCACCGAGACGCCTAACGCCCCAGACGCCGCAACCCGCGCTACCCATTGGAAAACGATAACGAACACGGAGACGCTCACAGTACAAGCACACAAACACAGCCAAGCATCATGAACGCCAGGATCGACCTTCCGCCCCTCGACACCGCCAACTATACCCCGTGACTACTGGCTCTCGAATCACTGGCCTACGCTCGCGAAGCCGAAGATCACTTGAACAGAAACCCAACCGCGCCCTCTCTACAACAAGAGGCTAAACAGTTTCACAAGGCCAAACACATCCTGCGAGCCAAAATCTTGGCCTCGGTACCTAGCAGCCTAGCCAACCTCATACTCAACCCGACAGCAAACCCCACGCCATATGACTTGATCACGCAAATAAAAACTCACCTCGACACAACACACACACAGGATCACAAATACGTCAAACAGCTGGTTGAACAAACCATATTTCTCCCAGAAGAAACAATTGAAGACTATGTAACTAAGCACGAGCAGCTCCCGCACGAATGATCGCGGCGCAATACCCCCAGATTGGAGATCCAAGAACCACAGTCGAGTTCATGATAGAAAGACTATCACAAAATCCGCAAACATCCACATTACGCATACAGCTGATGGCTCTAACGCCGAAGGATGTGAAAGATTTCGTTCACCAATACCTGATGTGAGATAACTCCTCTCCGCTCTAGGTTGGGTGAGAGGCGGAGGCTATAGCGAGGGAGCACGCGGCGTGGACGCGACACGCTAATTGAACCGATCGGACGAGCTCGCCAAAAGGGTGTGGCTCACTGGCCGGTTACGCGCAGTCGCCCCGTGGTGCGTGAACGGGAGCGATCGGTAACGGGTTAGAAGCCAGCGCGCGCGATAGACAACCGAAACGGACGTATATAGGCGCGAAAGGGACGGGGGCGAGCTTGCCCCAGTTTACCGGTAGGGACGGGTGTCAGGTCTTAACCTCTCAGAGGGACGCCTCGGACACCTGTCCCAGTACAGTAGTACAGTACCTGCCGCCTAGTGCGTGCCGGGTACTGTACACAATTAAAAAGCTAGCGCCATACTTACTACTACCGCACGAACGCTGCTACTACACGTGTGCACTACTGTACACGCGTGTTGCTTACAGACTACCGCACGGACGACACGTGTGCTAACGCGCACACGTAACACGCGTAGACTACCGCACGGACGACACGTATGCGCTGTACACGTGCGCCACGCCACGGCCGGTTGGTCAACGCGCGCGCTCCCTCCACGTGGGCACACCCGCCCACGTGTGCAGCGTGCACGGCCGCACGGTTAATAACCTCCCCGCGTGCGCGAAGATCGTTATACTACAGACCCCCTTCCTTAGCTTTCGCTACGTCCCCGAAGCGACCACTTCTCCGACCACACGGCTCCTTTGCGGTCTCTCTCTTTTCCTCCGCGCGCGATGCGAAGACCGAAGCGCGTGCGTGCGGGCGGGCTTTTCTCCCGCCTCGACTCCGAGCTGGCGGTCGATACGCCAGCTGTTCTGTCCGAATCGGTAAGCGCGTCGTCCAATTTCCCTCCTGCGAGACGCTCCGCAACCCTTGACTCCCTCCTAACACTCCCACGAAATTCCCAACTCCTCCACCCGCGACGACTTTTCCGTACAGTACCTCCTCCGGAGACCGAGAACGGACAGTCACGACGAAGTCAGCGCCGCGCGCCCATACGGTCCGCCGTCGAGCCCTGGTCGGGCTCCGGCGTCGAGCCGATCGGCCCATGCGGTACACCCGTGGCGAGGCTAACGCGGCGAGGCTCCGCGGGCCACCGAGTTAGCCGAGCCCGCGTTTGCGCGGATTAATTCGTCCGATGCGGTGCACGTGCCCACGGCGTACAGTGCGCGACCCAAAGTTCTCGCCGCCGCCCCCCGCCGGGCTGGACGGGGGCCAACACTGTCGCCCGGGCGGTTCTTCACCGCCCCAGCACACCAGCGCGCTTGGACAACAGCGCGCGCAAGTTCCGTACGGTCGGTTTGGGATGAAAATCCCCGTCTTCGCACTCCTGCCCCGAAGGGCTGGCCAATTTTCATAAATCCGCCCTTTTTTCCGTCCTTTGCGGCCGAAGTCGGCCACAAAAGGGCACGGATACGTGCGCCAGAACTTCCCTCGTGCGCTCGCAGCCAGTCGCGCGCATCAACCGATCGGCATGTCCCTTTTCTGCGACCTGTCTCCCAAAGCGTCATTTGGAAACTGAAAGAAACCGCAAGAAACGGAAGGAAACCGTTTTGGTTTCCAAATATGTCCGAATGCGGTTTTCCCGAGGCGATACTACCGGACGCCAGATGCTTCCAGGAGTGCGATTCCGTTGTCAGAAACGGGCTACGAATTTTTGCCGCAGCGTGGGAGGGAAAAACGTAGCCCAAATCGCGACTAAATTAAGAAGCCGGCGAACGCGATACATCTCAATACAAAGTACCGGTTCCCGGTACAGTTCTTCATTTCCATAGGGGCGTGCGAGCTCGATCATCCGAACGGTGCGGCCAGGCGTGGCTGGTAGCTATCCGCGTGGACGCTTTGGAGAAATTCCAATTGCGGACCACCCTCCCGGAGGGTTGGCCAATTTTGGAAGAATCTGCGTCCATTTGGGCGGGATCCATCCGGTACGAGCTGCCTCACGGTGCGCAGTCGCACGCGGCTGGCTGCCGGGGCTGCATAGCACGTGCGCGGCTTGTTTTCCCCAGAGGCTTTTGCGCGAGCGAGCGTCCGAGCGGTGCGACCGAGAGCGGCCGAAACTTGCGCTACGCATGCACGCTTGATCCTTGTTGGCGCGAGCGCCAATACCGGTCGATAAACGGCTGCGAAAGCCCATCGGCGGGCTCGTAGGTGTCGTCCGAAGCGGTATATCCATACCACCGGACCTTGTAGTCGATCCCGCCGCGCGTAGTACGGTGTCCGACAATGCGAGCAAGGACGTACTCCGCTCTTGGCGTTGCGGCTTGTGCGTCCGATTCGGTCGATGTGGCTGGGGTGACGGTATCCCCCGGCCCGCGCGGCATCTTCGTAACGCGGTCGATGCTCACGCGATTTTCCACGCCGTCCTGCTCGATGAAGACCGTGGTGTCCGTAGCGGAGCGCACGCGAAACGGACCCTCTGTCTTCGGTATTAGTTTGACAGAGAGCTCGTCCGTTGCGGCCGTACCTTGCGCGCGCGTGCGGCGCTCGATGCTTGTCAACGGGCGGGGCGGGCGATCGACGTAGACAAAATCGCCCGCCACAATGACCGGACGGAAGCGGACCTTCTTGTCAAAATCGTCCTTGTACCGCTTTTGCGATGCGGTTAATTTCGTCCGAGCGCTGTCGAGAGCGTCGCGAGGCTTGCGCAGCAAAGCACGCTTGTACTGCACCGCGGTCCGCGGGTCCTCTCGATGGGTCCCCGCGTCCTGCGGCGCAGTACCGGGAGGATTAAACCGGACGGTGGGTGCGTTAACACCAGATCGAACGGAGTCGTCTCCGTCGACCGGTGGACCTGCGTATTGTACGCGAAGGTCAGCGGCTGCACGTAGTCGTCCCAGTCGCGCTGGTGCTCCTCCACGTAGTGCCGGAGGCGTTGCACCAGCGTGCGATTGAACCGTTCGGTCTGCCCATTCGACTGGGGGTGGTAGGCCGTCGTGAGATAATGCCGCACCCCCAGGAGGGCGCATACCGCGTCGAAGAATTTCGCAGCGAACTGAGGGCCATTGTCAGTTAGTACTTAGCGCGGCGCTCCGTAAACGTAGACCCAGTTGTCCAAAAACGCATTTGCGACGACCGAAGCGGTTGTGGTTCGGAGCGGGATACTGCGCGTTAGCTTGGAGAACCGGTCGGTAATTACCAACACGTGTTCGTTTCCGTGCGCGGTCTTGAGCAGGGGCCCCAGGAGGTCCATTGCGACAAACTCCAAGGGGCCCGCCGCGGGGAACAGCTTGAGATCTTTTTGGTTCTTGACAAGCGTCCCGCGGGTCGCAGCCCACGAGGTGCAATTACATACGGTCGAAAACGCGTCGCTGGCCATGTGTGGCCAGTAGTACTCCCTGCAAAGGGTGTGGTACATACGCGTCGCTCCCGGGTGACCTGCCAACCTCGGATGGTGTGCCAGGTACAGTACCCGGGGGCGCAACCGAGTCGGTACCACGCACTGCAGGGTCCCGTCCAGCGGGGACGTCCTCACGAGAAATCCGTAACGGTCGATGTCGAACTTCGAGTTCGGCGTCTCGACGGTTTCCGCGGCGAAGCGACAGAAGGCGTCCTCAGCTTGTTCGCGTATAAATTCCTCAACCGAGATGGACGCAGCGTCGCGTTCCTCGGGAGTTATCGCGAGAGCGTGACAACCGTCCGGACGGTCTTGCGGCGGGTCCCAGTGCACATTGTCCAGAAGGGCCTTGCTGCCGTCATCGTACTGGACCGCGAAGCACGGGACCTCATCATCGACCGGTTCGGTGTCTCCTCCATCGGTACGTAAGCGCGATACGCCGTCCGCGAGTTGGTGCTTGACGCCTGGGCCGTACTGTACCTCGTAGTCGTACTCTGCTAAGCGCAGGAGCCAGCGAGCGAGCCGACCGGAACTGTCCGCTAAATTGAGGACCCAGCGTAGGGCCTCGTGATCCGTGCGGAGGTTGAACGCGCTTCCGTACAGGTACGGCCGTAGGGTGAGGATGCTCCACACTACGGCCAAGCATTCCTTTTCGGTAGTCGTATAATTGCGCTCCGCGTAGGTCACCGCGCGGCTCCAATATCCGATCGGTCGAGTACCTCCATCGGGTTGCTCCTGTAGAAGAGCGCAACCCACTTGGTGTCCGCACGCGTCGGTGTCCAGCGTATATTTCCGTCCGTAGCGGGGCAGCGCGCGGATTGGCGGCGACACGAGTGTAGTGCAATACCCGTCTCGGGTAGGGGGGAGGAAGGAAGTGAAAAAGGAAAAAATTAGATACTGTAGTCCGGGGTTGGGGGACACACGTGTGCGACGAAGCGCACGATTATTTTAATTATTTAATTATTTACTAATTAGATCTAGAATGTAGAGCCGGGAGCTACTGTACTCGCCCCGGCGGGGCTCTATATAACCTAGCCCTTTGACCGAACAAGTCAATAAACCAACCCGAGTTGCCGGAGTTGAATGTCGCCTTGGTCGAAGTCCGTCTCTACCAAGACGCTCCGTTTTGCCTAAGCCTACGGCATCCTCTATCGCTCGGGGTTCCCTTTTCTCTTTCTTTTATTTCCCTATTCTTTTGTATCTCTAGTTCTACCTATTTTCCCCTTATCTTGTGTTGGTGCCATCGGCCTCGGTTGCGACCGAACCGGTGTAGGTGTTTCGAGCCATCGGGCGGCACAGTTGACGTAGCGCTGCTACTTTCATTTCATCCCGTCGGGCTGCGTTGCGACGCCCCCGTCGAAGGCCTTGTCGCGTTACAAAGTGTCGAAGAAGCTCAACAAGCATTGTCCTTACAACCCAGTGGAACCGGGGTATCTACGTACGCGCCCCACCCCAAACTCGTCGAGAAGTTCTCTTTGCAAGTCTCTACCACACCGATCCCGGGCCGGGCTATTTCTCTGTGCCCCCCCCCCATCAGGGATCTGAGCTACTACGAGTCGCAAGCTCGTTTAAACGGAGAAGGGAGAGTCGGACACTCCGTAGCGCTGTGCCATCGGCAGTTCTTCTTTTTGTTGCTGTTGTTGTTTTTGCTGGACCATCCGACCGCGGTCTCTGCCCGACAGGCGCATTGCACTACAACGAGGCGCCGCTTTAATTCCTCAAACGCCGCGTATTCCGCATCGGTTCAGATCTCGAACTCATAGGGCTGATTCTTGCCGGTCTTCTTATTCAGCGGCGCGCCGATCTTCGCGAATCCTTGCACAAACCGTCGGTAAACGTTGCACATCCCGAGAAAGGATCGCAGTTCCGTTTGGTTCGTTAGCGCGCGCGCGCTCGATCGCGATGACGTTGCGTCGCTCCACCTCCAACCGTAGTGGTGGTGGATTTAATTCTGCCATCGTCCGTAACCGGTCCTTCTCGTCGCGCACCTTCCCCCGCGGGTGAGGAATTCGTCCTGCCTTCGTCCGTAGCGGATCCATTGCGACGCGCGTATCCTTCCGTAGCGGTGGAGGATTTTCTTCTGCCATCGTCCGTAACTGGTTGTTCGCGTCGCGCCTGTTCCTCCGTAGCGGTCGAGGAATTATTTTTGTTCCCTCCCTCTTCCTTAGCGTCGGCCTCTCCGGGGGTCGACACGCCAAGTGTCAGGATGTTTGTGGGGGATGGCAACGCGAGACTGACAACGGTATGCTTGGGGACGTGGACTGCGCGGTTTCCGAAGTTGCTAACGAGCACCGTAAACGGTTCGCCCGGGAAAAGGTCGACCCCCTGGGCCATCAGGCATAAATTTTTATGCGCCGTTTTGGGGTGGTTTTGCAGGAAGCAAAGCCCCCCAGCCGGTGTTGCGACGCGTACCATCGCTTGGGTCATCGGGGGTATCGTGACCCCCTTGACCACGCGAATTTTCCGTGACGGTACGTTCGTCGGGAACTGCGCGCGCTTCCCGTCGGCCGAATTTTCCTCCTGCGGGAGCTGCTGCGACGGTCCCCTCGAGGCCATCTTGCGGTCGTGCCTCGAGGGTGTGACTCCCGTCAGCGCTACGGACGGCGCATGATTGAACAGCACCTTCCTCTGCAGTGGCAGGATCGCCTTCACGTAGCGATCCAGGAACGTGGTTCCGAGGATACAGTCCACCGCAAGGTTGGTGACGACCAAGAACGGTACGCGCGCGACGAACTCACCAAACCGGACGTACAGCTTGAGCTCGCCGAGGGCCTTCATCGACCTATTCGAAGCGTCGATGAGCGGCGGGCTCCGCGCGGACTGGATGGCAGCGCGCCACGGTTCTGCCACACAGCGTAGGTGGATTAGATTTGGGCCGGCGCCCGAATCTAGAACCGGCGTGATGGCACGCATCATCGCGCGTCGTTGTCCGACCGTTGCGGTGACCTTATAATTTTGCTTCTTCAAGAAGCAAATTGCCGCTTCGTCCGTTCGGCTCTGCGATTGCGCGCGTACCGAAGCGGTCGACGGGGTGCCTTGTTTATTGAGGCTTGGCACGGGGAGGATCGTCGACGCCTCTACGCGTCCTCCCCGGCTTCGCCCGTCAACCCAAGGTCCTCGGGCCCCTCTTCCGTCAGCGGTAACGCGGGTTCTTCCGATTGGACGGTCTCGCGCGGCTCGACCACGTTGATGCCCGTGGGAGCCTGCGCACGCGAATTTCGCCACGCGGTCGGCGGTTGACGCTCGAACGGCGAACCTGGGCGGAGACCTTGACGGATCCGAAGTTTTGGATAATTGGCCTCGCGGGCCTGCAAAAGCTTCGAACACAGCGCGCTATCCGCCACCACAGGACATTGCTCCTGTCGGTGGGTCAGGTACAGACAGAACCGACACGGCGGGGGTCCAGGTAATCCTTGGTTGAAGAACTGGACCCGCTGGTTCTGTACTGGCTTTCCGTACGGATATGCGCGCGCGTCACCTTGTTGGGCCGGCGCCATCGGTGCGCCCGCCGGGGACGAGGCCGGTGACGGATGGTAGCTAGTCGGCGGCGAGCTAAGCGAGCTCGGCGTCGCCGACTGGTCCGTCACCGCAAGTATCTCCTCCGTTTCGGTTCAACGCGCTGTGGGGAGTTCAGACAGGGACTCAACCGACAGCACGGACCTTGTCCGCGCGTTGCGCGGGAATCTTCTCACCGAATCGGACGGTGCTTGAGGCGACGCGAACGAGGTCGTCTGTCTTCGAGCCGAGCGGTGCGTCTCGCCTATCGCTTGCGCGTAGCGTGCCACCGCTTGGTATTCCACGCCCGGATGCTTCGCGAGATAATTCCGCACCTGCGCGCACGTTGTTGGCAGAAGTCCCTCAACGAAAAGGGACTTCAAGCGCCTGTCCGAAAATACGGTTCCGCAGCGCAACGCCTTGTCCCGCAACTGGTTACTGTACACCTCCTCCGTCATATTGGAGCTCTGACGGAAGGAGGTGACATCACCGACCGCTTCGGAAATAACTTCGTCAGTCGCGTACGTGCGTAATAAAAAGTTAACAACTTCCGCGTAGGTTTAGAGCATTTCGCGCTGCTCCGCATCGACCGCCATGGTGTTCCCGTGTAGCCTGGACTGGAGCAAGGCATGAGCCTGCCCAGTCAAATAGAACTGGAAACACCATACGGCCGCGCCTTCGCTGACCCCATTGCGGTCGCAGGCCATCTTGAAGCGCGCGAGAAACCCTAGCACCGCGATTGGATCTTGACCACCGAACGTGTGGGTTTTCAGCTGGACGTCCAACTTCTTCCGATAACGGTTAACTCGCCGCGCGGTACTCGCATCGTAGCGCGCGCTGCGATTTTCCAGCCTATACGTGTAGTAGTCGACGGCCTTGGTGAACAGGTCGTTCAGCGGCCTGATCACCGGCAACCGTTTGGGATCCGGCCTCGGGGCAGACCGGCGGTCTCTGCCCCTGCGATGGCGGTCTCCTTCTCCGCCGGGGCTACTGTAGCCCTCCGGATCGGAGTCTTCTCGCCGGAACCGACGTCGGTCGCGCGCATTGCGGCCTCTGCGGTCGCTTCTGCACGATCCGTCCGACTCGGTGTCCTCGTCATCGGAGGGGTATCCACCCCCTCCGGCATCGCGGTATCGCGTATAGCGTCCTTCGCAGTTATCATCGGAGGGGTAACCGACCCCTCCGGCATCGCGGTATCGCGCGTAGCGTCCGTCGCGGTTCTTGCGCGTCGCTCTGTTGTGACGTCTTGTGTCTTCTTCCTCAGAGGGGTTTTCTGTACCCTCCGAGGTGTAGCCTTGAGCGCCAGGTGCGCTTCTTCTGCTCGACCGATACGGCTGTCGCTTTTCTGTCGCAAAGCGCCCCAGGCGGTTTTCTGTCCCGCGGGGGGCCAGCCGTATCGGCGAGTACGGGAGGGCCATTTTCTGTGGGCCCTCCTGTAGCACCATAAATTGGTGGGAGGTAAATGGTCTTACCCTCCCGGTGAGGGGCCATTGTACCGATCCCGGGTGCGGCGCCGATCGGTTCAGCGTGCGCTAGCGTAGAATCCGGAGTGGTTGAGTCGCGCTGCGCGCGTGCGTCGACTCCTGCTCCGGCGAAGGTCGTGGCCAGACGATTGGCCACGGCGGAGCTGATCGCTCCCTTTAGAGCCGTGCCGGACGGGGATTACTCATCCACAGTGGTGAGCGCGGTCACCACCTCGCATTGGACTTGAGTGGGTAGAAGTTCGTCCAAAAGCGGTGGTATCGTGCTGCGTATGTGCGCGTCCACGAGCGCGGGCACCGTTCGGTCGAGGCATACGTGCGCTACCTGGGGGAGTTCCGTAGCGAGGAACTCCTCGACCCAGGCCTGGATGCGCGGCTGAATGGCGTCGACTATCCATTGGACGCGATTCTCAGTGCCTGCCGACACCGCCGGCGTAACATCCGATGCGAACGCTCGCGTGCGGCCCGGTCGCGGTGGCGGTCGCAGCAGGGCTTCCGGGTTCTCCACCCGGGGACGCGGTGCTCCGCTGCCACTGCGGGTGCTCAGACGCCCGCAGGCGGAGTCTCCCCCTTCTTCCGGTCGGTTCATCGTCGAATACGCTTCGCGATCGACGTGGTGATTTCTCAACCTTTTCTGTCCGTACGGTTCTGCGCGCGATCGAGCGACTACGCGTGCGGCTCAACCTCAAGAGTTATCCCCTCCACAAGAGTACCAAAATGTGGGATAACTCCCCTCCGCCCTGGTTTGGGTGAGAGGCGGAGGCTGTAGCGAGGGAGCACGCGGCGTGGACGCGACACGCTAATTGAACCGATCGGACGAGCTCGCCAAAAGGGTGTGGCTCACTGGCCGGTTACGCGCAGTCGCCCCGTGGTGCGTGAACGGGAGCGATCGGTAACCGGTTAGAAGCCAGCGCGCGCGATAGACAACCGAAACAGACGTATATAGGCGCAAAAGGGACGGGGGCGAGCTTACCCCAGTTTACCGGTAGGGACGGGTGTCAGGTCTTAACCCCTCAGAGGGACGCCTCGGACACCTGTCCCAGTACAGTAGTACAGTACCTGCCGCCTAGTGCGTGCCGGGTACTGTACACAATTAAAAAGCTAGCGCCATACTTACTACTACCGCACGGACGCTACTACTACACGTGTGCACTACTGTACACGCGTGTTGCTTACAGACTACCGCACGGACGACACGTGTGCTACTGTACACGTGCGCCACGCCACGGCCGGTTGGTCAACGCGCGCTCCCTACACTTGTGCACACCCGCCCACGTGTGCACCGTGCACGGCCGCACGGTTAATAACCTCCCCGCGCGCGCGACGGTCGTTATACTACACACACCATGCTGCCCTAGACACAAATCCCGCCCTTAAGCATCCGGATACGATTACAATAGCCAGCTGGGACCCTACACTAAAAGCAGACACCTGGACCACCACAGCCCATGCCGCAAGAACCAAACTCGCATAAACACGCCGACCGGCCCCCACACGACGGCCAGCCATGACAAACATAGGACTGCCAAGGAGGACAGAAAAACACACAGCCCCCAAAACACTGAAACCCTCCAGAACAGCTGTAAACGTACCGCCGCAACGCCGCAGCGCACACATCAGCCACCAGATCCCACTCCGTCTCAACACACCACATATTCCCACCAAAAGCGAGGCATCCCTGCTTCAATGGCACCTCACGTTGAATCATGCACCGCCTCGCGCCATCCAACGAATGGCCAAGCTCCGCATAATACCAGCTATACCACAGCAGCTACACCAAACCACCAACGAAATCACCTGCTCTTCGTGCTCACATGCCAAACTTAGACCACAACCACACTCCCCAAAGCAGCACAACTATGCAGTACGA